TATACACCCCAGGGTGTTGTTTTTTTTTTTCTTTTTTTTTTTTTGTTTTAATATAAATATGCAGCAGCAGTTTGTGCTGTATATACACCACAAAGACCCAACAGCAGCAGCAGCAGCAGCAGCCGCTGCTGCTGCAGCAGAATCAAATAGCTGCTGCTGCTGCTGCTGCTGCTGCTGCTGCTGCATCCGGGTGTATCCTCAGCTCCTTGCATCAGTACGCAACACATTCACGAGAAAACTAAAAGGAAACGAAACAACAATCTTCTCATTACCACCAACAAAACCCCATCCCTTTGCTGCTGCTGCTGCTGCTGCTGCTGCTGCTGCTGCTGCTGGTGTTGCTGCTGTCTCACCAACCAGCAATGCGCTTTCGCTGCCCCCATTGCTGCTGCTGCTGCTAGCAGCAGCAGCAGCAGCAGCAGCAGCAGTTTCTCTCGGCACAATTTGTATCTCTATTTTAATTTGGTTTATATTATATATTCCTGGCGACGGAAACAAAGCCGTAAAGACAGCCGTTTTGCTGCTGCGGGGCTGCAGCAGCCCGACATCCTGCTGCACCTTCCCTAACCAGATGCAGCAGCCTGCAGGCACAGCAGCAGCAACCACTCCCTCCCCCTCTCCTGCTGCTGCTGCTCCTGCTGCTGCTCCTGCTGCTGCTGCTGCTGCTGCTGCTGCTGCTGCTGCTGCAGGCAATGCGGCGTTCATATTATGCGGGGCCAGCGATGGTCCACGCAAACCTGGGGATGCTGCTGTATCTGCTGCTGCTGCTGCTGCTGCTGCTGCTGCTGTTGCTGCTGCTTCTCTTGCCGTTTGAGGTGACAGTTGCGCTGCAGCTGATTCGAGGCCTCCTGTTGCTTGCTGCTGCTGCTGCTGTAGTTGCTGCTGCAGCAGCTGCTGCGTGTCGCTGTCTTGGTGCTGTAACGCTTGCTGCTCCTCTCCTGCTGCTGCTGCAGTTGCTGCTGCTGCTGTTGCTGGTGTTCTGCTGCTGCTGCAGTCGCTTTCTAGCCGTTTGAATTCCTCATCATCTCTGTCTTGCTGCTGCTCTTTGCTGCTGTTGCTGCTGCTGCTGCTGCTGCTGCTGCTGCTGCCGAAGGTAACATTCACCAGGCGGTGCCCAAGGCGAGCCCCCACCCCATCATTGAAGCAAACCTCCTCCAGCTTAATTTCTTTCTCTCTCAACTGCTGCTGCTGCTGCTGCTGCTGCTGCTGCTGCTGCTGCTGATCGGGGGGACCGACAATCTGCGGGGTGCATAGAGGCGGCAGGAAGACAGCAGCAGCAGCAGCAGCAGCAAGCTGGTTGTTGTTGTCTTTGCGTTGCATGTGTTGCTGCTGTTGCAGCTGCAGCTGTCCCGCTCCTGCTCCTGCTGCTGCAGGTGCTGCAGCAGGTGCTGCAGCTGCTGCAGCAGCAGCAGGAGGGGTTGCTGAGATAGACAGCTCAAGGGGAATGCCTTCAGGGAGAACAGACAGAGATATCTGCATACAAAAAAAATAAAAAAAAAATAAAAAAAACAAAAAAAAATAAAATAAATATATATAATATAATAAAAATAATATAATAAAGTAATAAAAAAAAGAAAATGAAAAAAAAAGAAAATAAAAAAAGAAAAAATATATTTATATATAGCAGCAAATAGGGGGGAATGCTGAGGGGACCCGCCACAGATGTAAACCCTAAACCCTAAACCCTAAACCCTAAACCCTAAAACAAAGACAAAGAGGATAATAAACACACATAAATAAATAAATAAATAAATAAATAAATAAATAAATAAATAAATAAATAAATAAAAAGAAATAAATACAAATAAGCAAACAAACAGAATAAAAATAAACGAAAACATAAA